CACCAAAATTCTGGGAACCTGATGCCTTGTTACAGCAACTTCCAATACCAAACTTTGGACCCTCACTTCTTGTCTCAGAGCTTTTGTCCCATCTGATTATTTTCTGTTGCTGTTAAACAGATGCTTCTGGTTCTCAATTCATGTTCAGAACAAAGACAATAACATACTCTTAGCCAAGAACTTCTCCACCACTTTGGAGAAAAATAAACTAAAAATTCTACCAAAGGAAAGCAAAGCCTCTTTCTTTTAATTAAAATAAATGGTCCATATTAATGAGGTACAATTGAGAGTGAAAAAGACAAATTTATCTTTTCAAAACACTGAAAGTAAAGAATGCTGGCAGAGCAACAGAAGTCAAGAAAGAAATTCTTTTGGAGGGAAGGCTTCCCCTTTTTCTCCGTAAAAGTCTATTTGTATTGCACTGACAAATCTGCATTTCGTGATTTAGAATGCAATGTATTTTATCCTAGTGTGGATACAGTACTATAATCATGTTTTATACATGGGGATGGGAGTGGGTTCTTAAAAGATTTTGCAAAACTGAGAACTCACCCAGATTATAGTGTAAAGATCAAATATTGCAGCCCAACTTCCACTTTACTTAAGTTTCCAAAAGCCTAAAAATTTAGAACAGGAATTAGCAAACTACAACCCCCACTGTCGCCTGGTTTTATTGCTACACACAACGTCTATGGCTGGTTTTGTGCTAGAATGGCAGAGTTGAATAGTTGGGACAGAGATTATGCGGCCTAAAATATTTACTATCTTGCCCTTCACAGAAAAAGTTTGCCAACCCCTGAAATTGCAGACATCTTAAGTGGCATGAGACCTATTCAGGCAGAGACCTTCCCTATACTCCTTACTTCTTGGTACTCAGGTTTTATCTATTCCGTCAAATGGCTCACTCTCCTACTCAATTCACTAACAAAAAAATGTTAAAAACTGTCAGGACATTAAGTCCAGATTTGACGGGGAAAACATTACTCCAAATAAAATTAATACTTCACCTCACCAAGTCAACTTCTCATAAACCAACTGCACCTACTTATTAAACTATTCAGACTGAGGGGAAATCAGTTTCCTTGGGTTAATCAATAGCTGCTTTGCCCTTTCTTCCCACCACTTAAACACACACACAAACACAGCATAAAGGCTATAGCAAGTGTATTTCCTATGAAGGCACACTGCCATTTAAGTAAAAATGCCATTACAAAATCATAAATTCCTTACCCAAAAGCTGGCACCTACAATCTAGTTTTCTCAAGTCATCATTGTCACCTACATCTAATGAGCTTGTTCAATGACGTAGTGTGCCCATTCAGAAAGGAAAAGTAGCTGAAGACCAAAGATAATTACCTCACTCTTAAAACCTTGAGAGAAATGGTGTGGAGATACCAAGTCAAATTCCAGCTTAAAACTGTGGTGCTTACCTTATTTTCACAAGTAACATGAAATGATGTGACTATTGGAGGCAATTCTATTTTTAAAGATTTGAAAGCACTAACGCCCACAAGAGTATGATTTATTGCTAAAGTTCAATGATTAAACATTTTTAAATGAGTAAACCTTAAAGGTTAGATAAAAATCAGATTATCAAAAAGCTTAGTTCTATCTGAACATAACAGTAAATAAGTGAAGCGGTTTTAGTCCACTGTGAGAACTCAAAACGCTTCACACGCCAATACGTGGTTTAAGAATTGCACCAGGAGCTACTTGGGTTCCAGTGTTTATGGTAGTGAAATAACAGCCATAATTCATGGAACTTACCATGTGCCCACAATTTACACCAGGTGCTTTTCATGATCCATTCTCAATAATACTATGGAGTAGATATTAATATTTGGAGAAGATCTGGTGAAGGTCACAGTTAATAAGGTGCAGAGCCAGATTTCAAACCGAGGTGTGACTATTTCCATTATAGTACTGTCACTACACTAGAATCACCAGGGGATTTTTAAATATTCTAAGCCCAGGCCATACACCTAATTAAATCACAATCTCTGGGGCTGGGACATCAGTATTTTTCGAAGCTCCTCAGTGATTCCTCTGTCTAGGTAAGTTTGGGAACCACTATCATGTGTGCTGTCATGCACAGCAAGTTAGAATATGGCTGCACTAAGCCACAGCAGTGTCCTTCTAAAAGACCTAATAATTTCACACATTCTAAACTTTCATCATTGTGCCAGATTAGGTTTCTACACAACTACTACTACGTAAAGGTAGGTAAATTTACAGAATAAATTAAAATGTCAGTAATTAATTAATGGCACAGGTATCTCTCTAAGGTAAACAAGAAATATGCACAATTACAAAACTTTTATAGCAGGCAATTACTGAATCACATTCTCAAAATCTGAACTACAGACTTTTCAGGTCCACGTGCCCCATGTTGCTGTTAGCTGCTGTCAATCCCAACTAATGGCGAACTCTTGTGTGCAGAGTAGAATTCCACGGTGCCCTTAATTATATATACCTTACTCTGTACCCCACTTTGGTGAGCGGCCACCTAAGATGCATCAATTGGTCCCAACCCACCTGGAGTAAAGGAGAATGAAGAATGCCAAAGACACAAGGAAGGTATTAGCCCAGGAGACAGAAAGGGCCACATTAACCAGAGACTGCATCAGCCTGAGACCAGAACTAGATGGTGCCCAGCTACCACCAATGACCACCCTGACAGGGAACACAACAGAGTCCCTGAAGGAGCAGGAGAAAAGTGGGGTGTGGAGCTCAAATTCTAGTAAAAAGACTAGACTTAATGGTTTGAGACTGGAGGGACCCTGGAAGATGTGACCGCCAGACTCTGTCAACCAAGAACAAAAACCACTCCCAGGGCTAACTCTTCAGAAAAGATTGCACTGGACTGTGGGACATAATATGGTACTCTCCAAGAGTGCGCTTCTTAGCTCAAATAGATAACTGGGACTAAATGCGCAGCTCCCGTCCAAAGGCAAGATGAGACGGCAGACAGGGTCAGGAGCTGGTTGAATGGACATGGGAAATTAGGGGTGGAAAGTGTTGCCACAGTATGAGAGCAAGCAGGGTCACAAAACATCGTATGTATAAATTTTTGTATGAGAGACTAACTTGAATTGTAAATTTTCACTTCAAGCATAAAAAAATAATAAAAAATATATATATTTGAAAAATCACAGCTCTTTTTGGAGCGACACAGCCCCTCCATTTTTATAAATGCTAGCATTCAGCCCTAAGGCAAGGCCAGTAATATCAAGCAGCAGAATAACTGAAGCATCTCTGCAGCACTGGAGGCTTTTAGGGATTTCTGCTATCGCTTGAAATGAACTCCCCTCCCCAACTGTTAAGTAACCTCAGGGCACATAAAGAACATGCAACTGTCCAAAAGAAAAACTCAGTTTTCAATGACAGTCTAATAATTAAACGCCCTAGCAATACATCCCTAATTTTAATGCATAAGCCTAAATAAAAATCTGACTTCATAGAATATTTTCATATTATGTGCCTTTTCTAATCTAGAATTATCTAGTTAATTACCTGTCAGGACACACTACTTCTAATAAAAGCACATCCTAATAAAGTAACTTTTATAAAATTTGTTGAGTAGATTATGGAGCAGTCAAGTAGAATTTGCTGTTGAGTTAGGGAAAAAGGTTTTTTGTTCAAAAGCAATCAGTTTACGACATATTTCTAAATAAATTTAAAATGTTTATATCACCATAATTCTAACACAGCACATAAAAACAATACCAGCATAAAAGGACTAAAAATATTTTTGTAGGTACCAGGTCCTTCAATATATTGAACTTTAATATACACCTGATGTTAACACTTCCATAGTTATCTCAACTTTCATAGAAATATATTAACAGAAATTAAAATTCTCATACTATTTTCAAAATCAAATATAATACAATTTTTAAAATGCTATTTTAAATCTATTATCATGAGAATTTTGCTCATTAATTACACTTTAGAAAAAAAAATTACAAAGCAGCACCAGGAAACCTTGGAGGATGACATATACGTTAATTACCTTAATTGTGGCAATAATTCCACAGGTGTATATGTTAAATCAAAATTTATCAAATTATATACTTTAAATGTGTTTACTGCATGTCAATTTATATCTCAATATACAGGGGTTTTAAAAAAAAAACTTGCTGCAGAGAAACTGGGTTTGAAGCAGCCAAAAAAATTACATTTTTTCCCACAAACCTCGCCTGGTTCTGAATCCTGCAATTCCACACTAGATTTACAATTTAACTAGTTCCTGCACTTGTGGGCTTCCTTTCAAACAATATGGTCAAAACTCTTTACCAGCTGCCCATTATTTAGATAGCAAGCTAAAATTATGCTTAAGAAGCTTTAACAGTTCTCTTAAATTACATGTGTATGTATGGCTCCACCCCCTCAGTAACCAAATTTAATGCTATCATTTACTACATACCGACCATACAACTGTACTCTAACCATATTCATAAAAACTACTAACATGTTCCACATCACAGTATGTGAAAGAACAATAAACGTTAGTTAACTGTTAGTAAGTGAGCAGAAGGCAGAAAAAATTACATAAGGATGAAGATGTCAGAAAATAAACATTACAGAATCCTTTATGGAAGTTATTTAGAAAACAGTAAGATTTTAAATGTAAAACTTGTAGTAAGAAACCACATTTCTCAGGTCCCTTTTGTTTCAGCAAATAAATTCTGCATGTGATAAATTTCATTAACCTATCAACCAAATAGTGCAATCTGCGGGAAGAGTTCCCAAAACATTCAAATACATGACACTGACAGAACTTTGTCAAAGCATGCTTAACATTCTCTTGTGGCTATTGCTACATTTAACTTCAGATGATTAAGCTGAATTACGGTGTATAATAAAAGCCTATTTAAAAAGACAATCTAACAAGATACATTTAATACTTCGTGTTACTATGAATTTATCCTCAAAAGTTTTGTGGGGTGAAAGTGTGTTGTAATTGTTTTAATTTCTCTATCATCAACAGTCTCAGTAAGAAAAAAAAAAAAAAAAATTCTGGTTCCTGGTGAAAGCTAGGGAGTTGGGTAACACCCTTGTTGAGGCGGAAACAGCAAAAACACTAGCCTTCTGTGAAACACAATTTAAAAAATAAACTCTCTTAGGATTAGAACAATCTGTCATAAAACCCAGAGAGCATTTTTGCTCTAAGATTATGCTCTTTACAATTAAGATATATTTAAACATGGAAGATAGGGAAAACTAAAAGCAAATAGGGAGAAACAAACTAGAAAAATAAAAATACAACTACACAAAGATTCTTCCAGTCAGCAGTAAAACAGAAATGATTCTAAAATTAATGTGCAAATCAAAATAAAGCGAACATTCATTCAATAAGCTTGTTAAAGCAGTCGATAAGGAAAAGGTTGTTTCCCATGCATTCTTTTTCTCAACTCAGAAAGTAATCGCCATCTTTGATAACGTAAGTATGCTTTGTTTCAATAAATGAGTAGAGCATGTTCTATCTGGAGACCAATACCTTGAACACTACAAAGAAAGACAATTTTCTGAAAATCCAGTTTATTTTCCATGTTGTGGACAGAGCCAGTCACTGTGATCAGTTTTTCTGCATGTGTAATAATTTATCAAAATAAGTTTTTCCACAAGACTCTTTTCCATCAACTCTGAAAATCTTGGTGTGACAACATCCCCAAATAAAGCTCTTGAAAAACACTCTTTAAATTTGGAAGGAAGTGTGGCAAGTCTTTCCTGTAACATTTACTGTACTACGAATGGCTAAAGAGCAATTTATGTTTTAAAAGGTGACTAGTACAACAGCTGAGTTCAGGAAATTAATGTTTTACTGCACTTTGCTCCAGTTTTAGCCAACATGCTACATTGTCCTTGTTTTGTGGAGCACAAAGTGAACTTGAGAATTTCCATTGTACGAAAAAGATATGACTCTGCAAGCAAAACAGTGTAAGCTGCCTTTTTTTCTTAAGACCTGGACATTTTAAGACAGAAGCTTTGCAAAACATTACACAATTGTTTTTATTATTAAATGAGAAAATCTCATTTGTTACATCGTCACATTGCTAGTCAGAGAAATGCTGCAGTGATGAAGAAAGTCAATGTTGGATCAACCAAAGTCCTCATTTCTACAACATTCATTTACAAAGAAACAATGTTCAACACAGCCCAACACAACATTCTTGGTTTTCTTCATACTGAAGTCCCCCCCAAAAATCGTCTTCTAATGGGGTATTTTACTACATAAATTATAGTTCTTCATTTTTACAATTCACCCCAAACTGTATGAGAGATGTATCACACTATAATTTCTAAAGCTGTTAGGAAATCCTTCACACATCATCATCATCTGATGTGTCACTGCTACTTGTCTCTGTGTCATCATTCTCAATAGTGGGTTTGAAAGTGCTGTTTTTCCAGGGTCCAAACTTGAAGTCACATATCAGGCCATTTTTCAAAATACCATTTTTTCTCAGACCATTCTTCTGTAACTGAAATGTCAAAAATAAATAGGTAAATTATCCTCTCAAGAGTAACCTACAAATTAAGAATACTATAATAATTAAATGTAACCATGAATATAATAAAAACTAATAAAGTTGCATCCTACCCCTAAAATTTTATAGGCAGTGATATATAATTTGTGAAAAATAAACCAGATAGGTAGAGGTAACTGATCCAACTGAGCTAATAAAATAATCCCTAAGTATAAATCATTTATTTTGGAAGAACAGCATTTACCATCTACCAAACCACTACAGAAAAATTAATGAGTTGTATTAGTATAATAGAAGGAGCAAATTTTGGACTCAAACAGGCCTAGGTGTGAATCGTAATTCTGTCATTTACTAATTAAGGTACTAAACCTTTCTAAAATTTAATTTCCTTATGGTGAAAACTGGAATAAATACCCGCAAGGTGTGATAAGCACATAGTCAGCAACCAATAAGCTACAGCTGTAATTTTATTATTCTGACCTAACTAATCAACACACCCCACGATCTGCTTTATTCACACTCTGTAAAATAAGAATAAGGAAAACAAAGGAACAAAAACAAATAGAACCCTCTGATTAAGATATTTGAAAAAATAAAGTCTTCTATTTCTGAAAATAAGAAGTCAAAACTAAAGTGTCAGTGTGAGAATAATAAGGAGCCCTGGTGGCACAATGGTTAAGCGCTCAGCTGCCAACCAAAAGGTCGGTGGTTTGAACCCACCAATGACTCCGTGGAAGAACAAGTCCTGGCAATCTGGTCCCATAAAGATTTCAGCCTAGGAAACCTATGGGGCAGTACCACTATGGCATATAGATTACTGTGAGTCAGAACTGACTCAACAGCACACAACAAAAACAACACGGTAATAAACAAGAACTGGGTTAAAAGATGATATACCAGGGAAAAAACAGGATAACTGGCCCAAATGGTAAACAATTTAAAGATACAAAATAAAGTTAGATTAAAAATATGATAACTACGGACTTTCAGGTTAAATGAAAAAAAGCGAGGCTCTGGTAATCTTCATCAAAATCTCTAAATGCACTCTTAAGACCGAATCCAGCTATATAATACAGCAGTACTTAGAACTGTCTAAAGGTCTCATAAATTATAAAAGGTCCTTCAATGAAGACTACAAATAACTGGGATAAAAGTCCAAACCTTAAGAGCCACTTCCATCATGGCTAATGCTGACTGTTATACATACCTTTGGTAGTAGTGGTAACAAGAAATAAACAAGTCTAGGTTCCTAGCTCTCAATTTCTCCCTTTCTTGCCCTTATTTAATTCCCTATTTTCCATAATGGGTTTTCTTTTCTACCTTGCTTAAATTCCAAAACTCATCATGCTACTTCATTTTGAGCAAATGACCCCATCATCTTTACTGCGAAAAACAAAAGCCATGCATCCACCTCAGATGTTCTCAGCCGCTGAGATGATCAGAAACACTTCCCACTCCCTCTTTTAAAGGTATACTTTTTCCACTCCTCAAGTTCTGCCCTTGCCTCATTTTATCAGCAAATGCTACAGAAGCACCCCACAGCCTGAAATCAGCTGTGTAGAATTTCAATAAAACCAAAGTTTATTCTCATGCTTTGACTTCTTTTAAGTATCAAATTTACATATCTAAATGCCTGGAATACCCAAGAATATTTAACTTGTTTCTTTTAAAAAAGGCTCCTAAAACCAGGTCCTCCTCTATAAGATATATGTCATAGATACAAGATCAATTCCAGTTTATATGTAAGATCAATTTTGATAATACAAAATCCTGCTGATTCTATTTCAGACTTTAACTGTCACTTCCCTAGTTTTTCAGACCAGCATTTATCCCTCTCCTAATTATTGCAATCAATTCTCAACTGATTATCCTCAGTCTAGTGTTCCGAATTACCGTTCCAATGTATGCTTTATACTTTTACTTCCTCATGTACAAATATGATCATTTCACATCCCTAAAAAAAAAATCTCCAAACGTTTCCTATTATAGAACACATTCCTGACATGGCAATTAAAGTCCTTCAAAATCTAACCCTAATACATCTTTCCAACCTGTGTATCACGGCTAAAGGCACAGGTTCCGAGGTTACCCAGACTTGGGTTCAACTCTAGCTCCACTACTTATTACTCAACCTCTATGAGCCTCAGTGTCCTCATCTACAGAGCAGGACTAATAATAGTACAGTAAAACCTGTGAAGGCCAGAACCTATATAAGGTGGGAACCTGTCAGAGAAGGAAAACACAAATATTTTCCACTAATAGAGAGCAACAGAAAAGTGGTAAAACTGCACCCTGTCAAAGACGGAAAACTTGTGAGACCTGGAAAAACAAGGCAGTCCTATCAAGTTCTGGCTCTCACAGGTTTTGCTGTACCTACCTTCAAGAGGGTTACAAAAATGCACTTAGCACAGTACCAAGAAGACATTTAGAGCTCAAACAATGTTACTACTAGGGAGGTCATATAATTTATCATTAAAAATAGAAAACTTTTGAGAATGAATGTAAGCACCTGCTATTAATAAGTACACTGCTATAACATGCATAAACTGGGGTTGCCCTGCGCAGAGACACAGAAATCACCCTGTTACTGTTATCTGGCCCTTTCACTAAAAAGTTTCCATCCTATGCTCCAGCCACCCTTAGCTTCAGTATTCCTTATACTTTTTATTCACTCCTTGTACCAGGAATGCCATCCCTTCATCTTACCTGTCAAAGGCCAACTCAAATCCAGCTCTTCAGTAATGCTTCACCAGATCATTGCAACTGGAATTAATCTCTAGATTAATCACGACAACTGAAGTTCTATGAGGGCAATTTTTTTCCCCCAGAACTCTAGAACAGTTCCCGGGATGTAGGCACTCAAGAAAACATTTGCTGAATTTTCATGATTCCTTCTCTCTCCCGTTCTCATCTTAAATATTTTCAGAACTGTTATTGCAATGGAATCTATCTCTCCTCATTAAACTCTTAACCCTTTGAAGGGGCTCATCTCTGTAAACCCCACAGTATCCTGGGAACAATGGACACTCAATAAATGTTTGTCAAACTGAAGAAATGGAGTTTAAACTCAGAATTTCTATTTCTCCTCTGTTACCAGTTGCAATATAAATTTTATAAACAGCATCAGCCCCTAACAATGTTTCAAGGATCTAAATGTCAAATAATCTTTCATCACTAATATAAATATAACCATGTCTTTATCATTAGTTCAGAAAATGTGGACATTATACTTATGTACCATTGATTTCCAACTCACAGTATGTGCAAAATGACCTTTATATCAGTTAATTATTTTATGATCGATACTACCTGCCTCATTCATCATGAAATTTTAAAGTCAATTATCTTCATTAGGCAATATTTTGCTTTCCTTGGAACTACTACCCTATGGTACTTGGTGGATTTTTCTTGATGCCTTTCTTCAGATTCAAAACAAATCCTTCAAACGGATACACAAACTGGTAAATCCATACAATGGAACACTACTCAGCAAAATGGATGAGTCTCAAAAGCATGAAAGAATCCAGATCCAAACGATTATACACTGAATGGTTCCATTTAAGAACCGTTCTAGAAAAGCAAAACTATAGGGACAAAAACAGATCAGTGGTTGCCAGCAGGTGGGGCTGGGAATTAAAAGTAATGAAGGAACTTTGTGGGATGGTGAAAACGTTCTGTATCTTTGTTATTACTGTGGTTACACAACTATATACATTTATCAAAACTCACTAAACTGTACACTTTTAAAAAGTAGATTTTATGTATGTAAATTATATAATACAATAAACATGGCCAAGAAACACCATCCTTCAGAACTGTTATCCACTGTCAGGTTCACAAATTGTAAAAAACAACATAGTTCACTAAGAAATTTCTGAATAAAAAATTAAAATTAGGATGATCAAATCCATCGTATTATGAAGTTAGCATAACTAATTCCCTCCGACTCCATTCAAAACATTTAAAAAGTGTTTTGAAGATCATAACGTCAATTATACATGTATTATATATATCTCCATATAAAAATTCTATATGACCAGAACTATAAAAAATAAATTCTACATGACCAGAAGTATAAAAAACCTGTAACGCATTTTGGGATAACATCTGATCTTCCTGACACTCTAGCAAACGTTTCCTAACACTCTTTCAAAAAGCAAACTATGGGGACATAAAATATAATGTTTTAGAATATAAAATATTCTTGTGTGAAGAAAACAATCAAAGGTTAAGCTATCTGGGAAGCTACTGATTCTTTCTACTTCTTATCCTTATGCAAAAATGAAACAAAGCAAAAAAACCTTTTCTGGAGAATGACAAATCTTAAGTCATATTATTTACACTACCAATCCCAAATGATTGCACATCATAGGTTTAAAGAAGTCATCACTGCAGACTCTTTAAAACAAAGGCAATTCTGACCTACAGTGTGATGTCTATTAAACTCCTAATAAAACTGTGTAAAATCCTTTTTTAAAAAGAAAAATAAATAACTTGTGATTATGTTGTTCTGATTAAGGAAAGGTAATTTAAAAGCAAAGTTACATGATTCCAGTTTTCTTACCTGTTCACTAATAACTTGGAATTCTCTCATTTCATCCTCAGTTAAGGGAGCACAAGTTTCATCATTTTCACTATCTTCCTGCCAGCCCATCTCCTTTAACAACCTGAAAAAAAGGGAGGAAATTAGTAAGTTTAATTTAGAGCTTCATCTGAGTAGGACAATCGCATTTATATTATGTACAAGAAAATATGATCCATTATACAAAGTGCTCAAGATAAATAAAGAATTTCTGAATACATGGTCTGAATATCTTTCTTAGAACGAATAGAAAAGTGCAGTAAACTGTCTCTGACAATAAGAATGAATTATTTAATTGCTTTATCTTTGGTGTTGAAGACTCTAGGTTGGAAACTTGCAATATGAAACAACCAAAGAGAATTTGCTAAAGTCTTGTACTAAATAGCAATGCTCCCTCACCTTTTCTTCAATATCACCAGCCTACCATATTCTTGGCTACTCATTAGGCTTCTGACTTTGAAAAGGCTGGAATATCTTACCCCATCTTATATTTTATAACACTCTATTTAAAATCACCTCTTACGTACATTCCAACCATAAGCTCAACACATAACTCAACTTGAAAGAGGCATTATGTTCTGTAACAACTAAAATAACTTTTTAAAAAGCTCTCAACCAGGGTCTAAATATACAAAATGACAAATATGGTTATTTTCCTACCAATTTATAATAAAATTACTTCCATCTTGTGCAAACAGAGCTAAAAGAGATGAACAGAAAACGAATCACTTTTTTCTGGTTGGGCAAACATGAACACCGTAGCCCACAGCTATTTGACTCAATGACTTTAAGGTTTCTGCTTCTTATATGGCCACATATTTTGTACTGGATCTGACAGGATTGATTCCCCCAAAGCCATCCATTAAACCTACACTTTAAAGCCACACTTCTGTCATATTATCTGATTAGATTCTGTATGTGTGTGTATATGTGTACTTGTATCCCTTAAGTATTTCTGTTACTCCTTCTACTTACAGCTACTTATCTTTCAACTTTGGCCTGCCACACATTAACTACTTGTAACTTTTATACCTTTTTCAAGCAGGCTCACAGAATAGCAGGCCCCGAGTAAAACACAACCAGGAATATCCCTATTTTACAGATGAAGAATAAAGTCACAAAAGTAAAATAACTTGCTATATGAAGTCTCAATCATGATCATGACGGTACAAGGGTTCATTCTGCTCTTACAGAACTCCACAAAACATGGAAGAAGCAGAAGTGCATATTCAGGTGGGAATGTTGGGATAGAAAATTATTCTCACGTGCCACTGCTTTGCACAAGACATATTAAATCTTTTGTTTTGACAGTTAGAATGCAATGAATTAATCACTTTGCCTATCCTTCTCAACTTCAGATTCTTCCATGACATTTGCTGCCTCATACCCTTAATGTGATTTTCCAAAGAGAAAACTGACAAGCAATCAGAACAGACATCATAGCTTGAAATTTCATCAAGTAACTCCAGAAAGCAGAGACAATCCCCAAAACTTCAAAAACATAAATTTCTTTTGCTATTTCAATTTATTTGTTGTTATATTTGGGTTTGTTTTGTTTAAATAAAGTAATACGTTTTATCTGTTAAAAAAGTAAAGTAATGCCTATATGACAGCAAAGAAGGAAATAGAATTCTAGTTTCTCGCCCCCAAGTTAGTATATATTACATCAAACCCTGCTGCCTCTGCACCAAAATGTCTCAGCCAGCATTAATTACTGTTGTCTCATCCCTTTTAGTCACTTTTCTTTTCTCAATGCAATGTCTTGCCCCTGTAACCTAGAGGGCATTTCAATTCACTTTTACCATTTCCAATGTCATTTCACCCAGAATCTACAGATCTAGAGTAGTAAAACAATCTGCTTTTGTCTGCACCTCTACTTTTATTCATGTTAGTTTTAAAAATCGATTCTTAATAATAATAAAAATAAAAAATACTGCAAATATGATGAAAAGGCATAAGGCAAGTATTCCTAACTCTCCGTCCCCTACCTTCCACTCCCTCCAGAGGCTATAATTGTTTTAAAAGCTGTTCCAGAAACAGTTAACAGTTATATTTCCGTTTCCCCCGCACAGGAATATACTGCAACACTGATCTGCACTTTATTTAAAGTATTTCCTCTCCTAGGAGCCGTCACACGAATAGATAAATGCACACCCATGTTCACCGCAGCACTATTCACAACAGCAAAAAGATGGAAACAACCTAGATGCCCATCAATGGACAAATGGATAGACAAATTATGGTATATCCACACAGTGGAATATTACACAATGATAAAGAACGATGAAGCTGTGAAATATTGTGTTACATGGTGGAAGCTGGAACTTATTATGCTGAGTGAATTTAGTCAGTCACAGCAGGACAAATACTGTCTAAGACCACTATTATAAGAACTCAAGAAAAGGTTGAAACACAGAAGAAAATATTCTTTGATGGTTATGGGGGTGGGGAGGGAGGGTGAGGGTTATTCACTGACTAGACTGGATAAGAATCATCTTAGGCGAAGGGAAAGACAGCACACACTACAGGCGAAGTCAGCACAACTGGACTAAACCAAAGCTAAGTAGTTTCCTGAATACAATCAAATACTTTGAGAGACAGAGTAGCAGGTGTAGGGATCTGGGGACCATGCTTTCAGGGGACATCTAGGTCAACTGGCACAACAAAGCTTATTAAGAAAATGTTCTGCATCCTACTTTGGTGAGTGTCTGGGGTCTTAAAAGCTTGCAAGTGGCCATCTAAGATGCATCAATTGGTCCCAACCACCTGGAGTAACGAAGAATGAAGAACACCGAAGACACAAGGAAAGTATTATTAGTCCAAGAGACAGAATGGGCCACATAAACCACAGACTTCATCAGCCTGAGACGAGAAGAACTAGATGGTGCCCGGCTACCACCAATGAACGTCCTGACAGGGAACACAACAGAGAGTCCCTGATGGAGCAGCAGCAGGACGGGTTGCAGAACTCAAATTCTAGTAAGAAGATCAGACTCAATGGTCTGACAGAGACTGGAGGGACCCCAGAAAGCATGGCCCCTGGACTCTCTATCAGCCCAGAACTAAAACAATTTCCGAGGCCAACTCTTCAGACAGGGATTGGACTGGACCGTGGGACATAAAGTGATACTCGTGAAGAGTGTGCCTCTTAGTCAAGTAGATACAAGAGACCAAAGGGGCAGCTTCTGTCTAGAGGTGAGAGGGGAAGGCAGAGAGGGTTAGGAGCTTGCTGAATGGTCATGGGGATCAGGGGCGGAAAGAAGGAGTGTGTTGTCGCCAAATGGGGTGAGCAATTAGGGTCACATAACAATGTATGTATAAAATTTTGTATAGGAGACTAACCTGAAAGGTAAACTTCATTCATACAACAATAAAAAAATAATAATAAAGTATTTCCTCTCATTCTCTTTAGAACTATTACACCAAATCATCCTGATACCACTCTCAGAATTATCACTCTGATAAACATTTTCAATGATTTCCCACTTCCTAAAAAAACTAATCCCTTAACTTTGTTTACACCACGACAAGTTCAAATTCCTTACAGTAGAAAAAGCATAAGATCAGAAGACTTCTAATAGGTCACAGTTCCTATTCTATCACACACCAGCTATAAAACACAGTACAATTCCTTCACTATTTCTTCATCCACGTCACTGAAGGAGAGCTGCAGGGCTCTTTCAATGAAGGGCTTAGTTCTCTAAGGTCCTAAATTTTCAGTATCGTATCTTGTAACTTTATTATATAAAGTCTCCACTCCTGTCAAGCTGTTTCACTCAATGCCCCCAAAACAAATTGGTATATATTCAACTCTAAGTATCCCATCACACTCCTTTCTTCTTCCAAAACGACAACCCGGTACCCTTGTCCTTATATATGTCTCATCCTTTCTTTAAGGTTTGATTTAGGTCCCTATTAAAAATTTCCCGACTGGAATCCAAGTCATAATGATCTTTCCTGCTACCCACACCACCTCTCAAATTTCTCTGGCATTCATTTCCACTAATTTATTTGGTGCTTAAATAAGATAACCATCCCTTTGATGTTGAGGCTATTCTCAGTACCTTGCTATTGGATAAAGTTGTTGAAAATTAACAATAAAATTAAGAGTGACATATATGCCTGATTATTCAACATTTTCTATATTGTATGCATTTTAAATGACCCCTGATGGCACAGTGGTTATGCGCATGGCTCTAACTGAAAGGTCAGTGGTTTGAACCCACCAGCCACTGCACAGGAGAAGACCGTGGTAGTCTGCTTCTGTAAAAATTACAGCCTTGGAAACCCTGTGGGGCAGTTCTACTCTGTCCTGTAGGGTCACTATGAGTCAAAATCGACTCAACAGCAGGTTTGTTTCTTGATACATAGTTAAACAAAAGAATTATCACCTTTGAGAGCAGTATCACTGACCCGACTGTTAAATTCAACCAATGAGTACTTTATCTATAACTTGAGAACCGCAATTAAATTAAATTTCCAGAAATAATGAAGCCATGTAAAAGAAATATCACTCCATCTTCACAGAGAAATAAAACCTGAAATGTGTAAGAGTCTGTTACTTTGTTAGCTTAGAAAGAAATGTATTAATGTATTACTGGTTTAAAAACACAGACATATATTCTACTTAAACAGTCAGGAAAACTCAAGCTAAGAAATTTAAATTAAAATAGTTCCATATCAGTCATACCTTTACTCCCTCCCTTAACTCCTTTAGGATCCTTTTAGCATTTGCAACATATCCATAAAACTATCCCTGTACTCCACAGATACTTTCCAATAATTAAACACTTTTCTAAAAGCCATCACCTATCTGTCAGCGGAGGCTTGTGTGCTGCTCTGATGCTGAACAGGTTTCAGTGGTGCTTCCAGACTAAGACAGACTAGGAAGAAAGGCCTGGTCATCTACCTGAAAAAAATTAGTCAATGAAAACCCTATGACTTACAATGGTCCAATTGGTAACCGAGTATGAGAATGGTACAGGATCCCTTAGCATTTCATTCTGTTGTGCAGAGGTGGGTCACCCTGAGTAAGGGGCAAACTCGACAGCAGCTAACAACAACAATCAAATCTAAAATCTTGAA